GTCTCTAAACATTACCGACGAGTGTCGACCACTCAGATAATTCGCCGACCACCGTTTGAGCCTCTATGGGAGAGAGGAGGCCTCTATATCTTCTAGTAGCTTGGAGTGGCTGGCGGTGTCAAACGCCTTTGACAGGTTCAACGCTACTAGAATAGTTCTCTCACAGGGACGGTTGCGGTTAAGGCCACGGGTTATCCGAGTGCTTATGGCGTTAAGTGCTGTTGTTGTACTGTGCCCTTAACGGAAACCATGCTGATGCTTCGCTGGGGTCAGGTGGTTTGTGAAATACGGAGGCCTCTAGAGTTTTCGGGGCGTTAAGTAAGATTCTCCTTTGTTGTCTGGTTTCCCCGGTTTGAGCAGTGGGACCACTCTCCCCACTTTCCAGATGTCATTGACATATTGAGGACCTCCGTTAGGTACGCTACTCCAACAGGACCCAGATTTTTCAGCATCAACATGCATATTCCGTCGGGACCCGTGGCTTTGGAGGCTTTCGCCTTATCGATGGCCACCTGAACTTGTGAAAGCAAGGGGGACACAAGTTGTTGGCAGTTTGTGCAGCCTTCTGGTCACTCGACGCTTGGCTTTGTCCGCCGGAGGATGCAGTATGAACTGTCGGCTAAAATAGCTCGCGCATCGCTCCGGGTCCGACGAAGCATGGTCGCCGAAAGAAATTTCGACCCTGTCGTCGCGCTTCGTCGGCTAGAACAGCCGCTTCAGCAGGGAAGTTTGGACGGGGTCCGTGATGCATCCTGTCGGTACGAAGCGAGCTGCAGTAGCAGTGACATTTTTTCATATATTGATCAGCTTTAGAAAAGTTGATATAGGTCCGGTGTTCCGCGGAAACAAAGTCGGTTGGTTTATCGATTGAGATGACTATGGACAGATGGTCTGATGCTAAAGTCAGCATAGGTCGTCATGATACTTTGTTTATCATGCCAGCGCTGACTATTGTTATGTCTGGCGAGCTGCAGCAACTGCCCATAATCCTGGTGGGTGCGTCGTCGTTCATTGTGCAGAATGTCGAATCGTCTATCTGCTCAGCCAAGTCTGTTCCCCTACGATCGTTTGACAGGCTTCAATGCCAAAGATCGTGGTGCGCATTAAAGTCATCTACTACCATACGGTTTTCATCTCTGAGGAGCACAGCTATCCTGATATCCTGCAGGGAAGCAAGTCACAAGTGGTATGTAAACGTTAAATATCTCGAGCTCAACATCGCCCGACCGGATAGCAATGCCCTGACATTCTAGGGTGGTATCCCTGCGGTCGATGTCTGCTTCAATAAAACGATACAGCACGGTGTGGTGCGTGATGAATGGTAAGCCACCACCATTATATCGCTCGCGATCTCGACGGTGCACGTTGTATCCGGCACAATTCAACAATGTTGAATTGCTGTGCAACTTCGTCTCCCAGCTGTCAATATACCATGCCTTACCATGAAGACGGTTATCTCCTCGATCTCTCCTCTGAAGTCCGTTACAGTTAAATTAAATGAGATTCATGTGGTTCGGGAGACGTGTTGTTATGCAGGTTATGAGGGATATGTGTGGCCTTGCCGCCATTGGCTGTGTGCCTTGCTGTGGCGGTTGCCGCCCTGTGGTGGTAGTGGGTGGCGTCCGGTGGGGTTTNCCAGCTGTCAATATACCATGCCTTACCATGAAGACGGTTATCTCCTCGATCTCTCCTCTGAAGTCCGTTACAGTTAAATTAAATGAGATTCATGTGGTTCGGGAGACGTGTTGTTATGCAGGTTGTGAGGGATATGTGTGGCCTTGCCGCCATTGGCTGTGTGCCTTGTTGTGGCGGTTGCCGCCCTGTGGTGGTAGTGGGTGGCGTCCGGTGGGGTTTGCGACCGAGCGGCGCAACACGGACCCTCGAAGTTCCTCGTAAAATCTCGCGTGGTGCGCAGACCTGAACATGCCTTAAAGTGGCACCAGCCAAAGCAGGTGTTGCACTTGACTGATGTCACGTTACGGAATATCCTTGTCTGACATACCGTGCAGATTGTAGGAGGAACGCGGAGTTGTTGGCGGCGGCGTGTGGGTGGTGGTGCGGTTGTGTCTGTTTTGTGGTCTGTCGTGGTTGTGGTGTGCATTGCATTGTCGTGTGAATTGTGTTGTTGTGTTGTGGTGCTTGTATTGAGCTGCTCAGGTGGACTGGGGTTAGCCGTGAAGGCTGCTCTGTTTGATCAGCAGGGGGCCACAAACGATGTGGTATACTGCCGATGGATCCGTAGTCCTGAACAAACTCTGAGGATACTCCACCCGTTGCAAGCATTGCACTTGACTAAGGTGGATTTGTGGTGTAGTCGTCTCTGGCATACACAACAGGTGAAGTTTTCGGGCTTGGGTTTGACTCGATGCCAGCCCTGAGCAAAAGAATACGTAGCAAATGTAGCCATATGGACGAACAACTTCTGAGATACTTCGCCGACCTAAACCGACCGACCGAAACAACAGCCCTTGGTCGGAAAAAACCCGAGCCATTCCCGTACGTAGAACCGGCTCTCGTGGGAATGATAGGGCTTGCGTCAATCGTGTGTGCGGTGTATGGGGTTGTTTGTACTAAATTACACAGTTATTGCGCAAAAATCAAAATAATATTGTTATTGTACAATAATTTGTGTTGTGTATGGCAACTACTGCATAATTTTTAGTCTAGCTTTTATTTTGGTGTCCAGATCATGTCGGCCGCTGTGGTGTTGTGGTAAGCAGTGCACGCCTTCACTCATCAGCACCTGGGTTCAAGCCCTGGTCAAAGCAACATCGCAAAAAATAGAAAAAGGTTTTTTCTTAACAGCGGTCCTCCCTCTGCAGGCAATGGCAAACCACCGAGTGTATTTCTGCCATGAAAAACAGCTTCTCATAAAAAAAAATACAATCGCCGTTCGAAGTCGGCGTAAAACTGTAGGTCGCTCCGCTTTGTGTGACAACATCAAGGCGCACGCCACAAGTCGGAGGAGAGGCTCGGCCAAACACTAACTTATGTGTAAGCGCCAATCTATTATTGTTGCGTTCCCTAACTCGCAAGAAGTTGCAAGAATTTACAGGAATTTGGCAGAAAGCGTTCCCGTACTCGGCTCTCTGGCTTCTATTGCCTTTTGACAGTTTTACAGGTTTTAGCCCAGAAAAGTTGGGGAACGCAACTATTATTATTATTAGATCATGCTAAAAACATGGATACGAGTGTAGGAAAAAAAATTTTTGTATTCATATTTTTGTGTTTTGAAACTGAAGCTATCAAAATATGTAACGAACATTCATATTTACTTGAGCAACGTTTCTCCAAAATAAGGTTTGTGCAATTTTATCGTGTAGTGATTTCCACGATATTGACTTACACAAGTCTCACAATGATTTTGTGTGGTTTAGGAGTCCTATAAGTTTGTTTATCGTTATGCAAATAAGCATGAGGATTTGTTTTTCATAAAGAAAGTAAGGGTTGGCTTTCCTTTATGGCCGTTCTTTAAATGGGCGGTGGGCGAAAGGTAAGTGGGCATGGCACCTCTAACCCACCTTTTTGGAGAGGGAATGAACCGCCATTGACAAAAAAAAGTTTCATGTATCGCTATTGTCATGACAGTATTGTCCGGTGTAAACCCTAAGTTAAACTCGTAAAAGCCTCGTAAACCTCGTAAAGCTCGTAAATTTGCGAGCCTCGTGAAAGAACTGTCAAAATTTGTATGGAGCTCTATTTAGTGCTCATTTACACACGGCGATTTTTGTTGCCGCAACTCGACGTTTGTAGGAGAGAGCGTGACGAGGAAAGAAGAGGGGCACCGAGTCATGAACCAAAAAGACAAGATCACGCGGGCTGGAGACTAGCCCGTTAGAATCGCATTTAGGAAAAAAGTTGAACGATTTTGACATTAACCGTTTGTTTACATTTCTTCGTTGTTTACAATTTAGTGGTGGCTTTTTACTGCAATTTTCTTCATTTTCGCTTGTGACAACGTGTGTACACATAAGATAAAGAATAATTTAACACAACGGCATAATTTATAGAAGAATTTGCATAATAAAAATGATTTTTCATGCGTTCAACAATTTCGCGGTTTTCTCCGTTCTCTACGTTGTTTACTTGTTACAACAAAGATGGCGTCGAGATTTCGGCAGCTAGAAAATAACTTTTTTCGTTCTTTCCNAAATCGGCCGGTGCCGATAATATGCGATTGTAAAACACTCTCAATCATTAAAACCATATTTTATGAACTTTTTTTGCTAATTGTCATCAAGTTTCACTTTTTATATTTTATAATAAATACAAATCTAATCGCACTCAATAACCGCGCCTTTTTCGTTTTCTTTGTTTGTTTTCATTTTTAGACAGATGTCAAAAACGCTCAGAAATTTACTCTTTTCATTCTTTTCCGATTGCGTGATCTTGTTAGTTGGTTCATGGCTGACAACCATAATTGCACACACAAAACACGCCGTGTGTAAATGAAACGAGCAACACCAAAAGGGAATGTGAAAAACCGCGTCGACAAAAGTGTCCGTGTATAAACAAAGTCTTACGAGCACCTTGTAAATTTACGAGGCAAATTCGATGCGCAAACGACCTCGTAAACTTCAGTGTTGCCAAGGGGCCGAAACTTTTAGACTAAAATGTATGATAAAATAATGAAAACAAGTGAAAGAATAATGGTAATTTTCGGCATTTTTAAATGTATTTTAGTCAAGAGTGATAGAGACAAGATATTATGGAAAATACTTCGAAACAAAAATTGCTTCCCAAAATCCTGGTTGATCTGTCAAACAGTCACTTTACGCACCTATACACCTTTTCACAAAGTGGGCGTTCCCATAAAAGCCTCGTAAACTTATAAGCTTTATACGGTTTAAGACTTTACGAGTTTAAGGGAATCCCTTAATCATTTTTTAACGACACTAAAAGAATACATCTACCCAATGTACTGTGCCTAGTATTGGTGTCTCTACACTGCTTCTAGAAAGCATACCGTTTTCCATCACTGCTTTAACACAGCGCAAAAAGTCATACAGTTTTCCCAAAGCAACCCTGTCAGAAAGTATTGAGTCGAGTAGAACATGGACGAGAAAAAATTAAAATCACGTAGAAAGAAGCTATAGTGCGGTGAAATTATTGAAATTTCACCCTTTTAGTTTTGGAAATAATAAATATTTTATTAATATATGGATATATTACATAATGTGCGGATTAATCGGAAAAATATCTGAGTGTCTAACTGCGGATCGAAAAAAGTGAAAAGATATGTAAAAGAAAAAACTTTGAATTGCAATAACTATGCCATTGCATTGGTGTGAGAAAGGGATAACTAGACTGACAATGAAGCAAGTGTGGCCAATAAGTGCGAGATAAAAGGAGTTGCTTCTATAATTGTCAGCTGGGTCTGTCAAAAACGAACGAAAACAGGAAAATTTGGTTTTGTTTGTTGGTTTGTCTTAATTCTTCCGCTGTCTACTTTATGCAAATTTGATGTAAAACTGAATTAATAATTGCAAAAAGGAAAATCGGAAACAAATTAAAGCAAACACTTAACTACTTTAGAGTAAGAGGATCTGGGATAGTGGAAAAAATCATTAAATTGCAGGCAATAAGGAGATGAAAATTCGAAAAAATAGTTGCGAAGACATTCCAGCAATTGAAAAAAAGAGCAGCCGAAAAGGAAGTTCTGATAAAGAAGGGTACGAAGTGGGGGAAAAAGAGAAACGAGATAAAAGGAGACTTGATGAAAATGATTTGAATAGTGAGTCGATACAAAGGGAAAACGAAATAAAAAACGGGAACGAATAAACGACGCACGACTTTATCCATCCACCACTATTCATGGGTAGGAAGAAAAGTGATGCGATAAATCTGAGATCTACAGAAGAAATGTGCTTTAGAGGCTCTAGAAAAATTGCAGAAAAAACGTAACGCCAGAATTTTGGATATAAAACCAAGTCAAGCTTGACTACAAAAGCTCGCCTTTCTCATCTTTGTATCGTTGGATTTTCCAGGTTCAAAATGAGTCCACAGGTCAGGTAAGTCTGAATTTTAAAAACTATAGTAAGTGTATATTGCGCACCCGTATATTAGGGCAGATTGAATATGTGCATATGTATGTACATATTTTGTTAAAATATTCGCTAATCACATTGCCGATTGTAAAACATTCGATGGTTAGCTAAAAACTTTGTAAACAGAAGCCTGCAATTCTGAGTGTTCACGATGGAGAAGAACGAAACCCCACGCCTAGTAACTTCTTTCTTCGTGCTAAATAAATTATGCAAAATTCACTTAAAATATTGTAGAATAGTTATGGGCATAAATATTTTTTATTTTTTGTATTACAGAATCATTCCATCTAAAGAAGGTTAGGGCGTTTATTTATGTGTGTATGTACATTTCCATGCATATACCTATGTATGTATGTACATTTGTATCTATGTATATAGTACATACATCGAGATTGGGTTTTCAAAGACTTAATGCTTCTAATTACATGATTTTATACTTGCTTATTTATCCGTGTGCAAATATTGGAATGTATACATACATATGTACATATNAACATTTGTATCTATGTATATAGTACATACATCGAGATTGGGTTTTCAAAGACTTAATGCTTCTAATTACATGATTTTATACTTGGTTATTTATCCGTGTGCAAATATTGGAATGTATACATACATATGTACATATAAATATGTAAAAATTATTTTTCATTATATAAACTTCATGAAAGTTATTATTTTCGAAATCAATTTATCGTGTAGATGTTGTATATGAATACTAGCATACAAAGCTCTTGTGCGGTGACCACGTTTGTGGGCTATCGTATGTACCTATCTCAAAGCCACACAAACTTTCCAATTTAGGCCGGGAGCTAAATTTTGTTACACTTTGCATCTTTTATTTTCAACACATACCACTGAAATTCTTATTTAAATCTGATAACTTTTTGAGCCTTTTAATGGTATACCTGTCAAACGATCGCCTTAAACGATGCTCTTTCATCTGCTTCGTCTCCCATTGGGTCTGCAAAGCGATTGGCCCCTAATACAAAACACACTCCAGCAACACTCCCCAAAAAGTCTTTGGGGAATTTGTATGCTGCTACAACAACAACAACAACAAAACACACTGAAAATGTGGGGAGTGTAAATAAGAGGCGCCGCAATGAAATTAAATCGTTAGTGGATGTGAAGAATAAGAATGTCGCTGTTATCTCATCCCAAAATACTGCTGTTAACCCATCACCAAATGCTCTGTAATATTGTGAATTTGTCTTCCGATGTTGATTTTGACACCGGCGATGTTGCTGCTGGTGCTGATGCTGTCATTGCTAAGGGGTGTGAAGCTAATGGTGGTCTAAATCCCGTGCGTTCTGATGTTATGGATCTGATAAACTGCCCATAGCGGATAATTTACATTCGCCTCGCTCGACACCTGCTGCTGCGGCTCGCGACGTTGCTGGTGGTACTGATGCCCGAACATACCTTGCTATTGCTGGCACCAGTGGCGGTGCGCATTCTCTTGGGTCTAGTGCTGTTAACTGGCCTGCGAATTCTTCTGACAGTGTTAGTGCTCATTCTCAGGGATCTTGTGCGGTCAACGTGCCAGATGATTCTGCTACTGCCTTGGTGGCGCCGCCGAGACCAGGCAAAACAATCAACATTGTTGGCTGCAACTCCTGCTAAGACCTAGGGGTTGCACGAATGAAATGGCTTCATCTTTCTTCGTTCCAGTCTACTGCCTGATAATATCATCGACTATATCATCGACACGCGGGCATTAATAAGAACCAGCTATTTTGCCACAACCTAATTATGTATTAATTTTTGCAATACATATTTATTTATTTATATATTTTTATATATGTGCGATGAGCCTCAAAACTCCGTCAAATGGGTAAATTTCAAACTTGGAATTTCTTCTGCACTATTCGATAAGCCGCTTTTCTCTGAACTCTTTTTTTTTCCTTCCGGAAAGATAAGAGACGCTGTTAAGAGTTGTTGCTCCAGGGGCTTAGGCGTCTTGATTGCAGTGAATCGAAAATTCCGCGCTTCATTGATTAATCCGGAAAATACTGACTCACAACTGGATCAGCTTTGCGTTTGGGTTGCTGGGTCGTCAATTTCTTGTTCACTGTTTCTTTTTTCTTCGTATATTCGAATAGTGTGGATAGCCTATGCAGGGCACATGCTGACAACATTACATATTTTGTTCACAATACGATTGGGGACAATAATCTGTATATTCGGCGGTTTTAATCTTAGTAATGTTAATTGGTCAAATAGCTATATTAACAATGGGCTCACTCCTAATAATTTATCTTTCTTTCATGAATCTTATCTTATTGATAATTAACTTAGCCTTAATTTATCGCAAATTAACCACTTTGTAATCGAGCTCGATAGAATTTTGGATTTAATTTTCATTTGTGATGGTGTAAATTACAACATCACCGAATGTCTTGCTCCAATTACAGCCGCAGGTGTGCATCATGTAGCGCCCATTCTTAAAATGGAATTTTATCATTTTACACCGATCACTATAGGTAATAATAATATTACCTTCAATTACTTCGACTTGGATGCCGGTTACTGCTTTAACACCTTCAAGACCATTTTGTTTGACATTTGCTCCTCCCAACATTCCCACCACCCAAAGTTAGCCGTATAAACTACCTTGGTAAAATTCTCGATTAAAGAAGCTCAAAAATCTGCGAAATAAATATTGCAATAAGTACAAGTCAACCAATAGTCAGTGTTACCACTTAATGTACAAGCGTTTTTTAAAAGAGTTTTATTTAAAAATGAGTCTTGGAATTTTGTAAAATCGAAAAAAACGTGCTCTTCAATTCCATCTAATGTTTTATTTAACGATAAATGAAGGGGTTAGAATCATAAAGGTCTAAGTGATATTTTTTGAAAATATAAGTTATACTCATATTTGTATAGTTAAATATAGTGTTTATTTGATTTAATTTCAGATCTACTTAGATCCTTTTGATTCTAACCCCTTCAAATGTAATGATAATAAATCTCTTCTTGGGTGTTTTTAGATGCTTGGAAATCGGGCATCATAACTCCAATTTTCAAAAGCGGAAACAAAAACAATATTAGTAACTATAGACCGATTTCTAAGCTGTCCACAGTTTCTTAACTGTTCGAATGCATCGTTAAGGAGAAAATTTATTTCTCGTTTAAGAGTCTTATTTGCCCAAACCAACATGGTTTTGTACCAGGGCGTTCCACGGTCTCAAATCTTGCAGACCGCATAGCGAATATTGTATATCGGCGTTTTCTTTTGCATCTAATGTGGATTATATCTACACGTACTTTTCGAAAGCTTTCGACAAGGTGTCGTATAGAATTTTAGTCGCGAAACTCGAACGGCTAAGTTTCCATTCTGTTTTCTTAAACTGTTATATGTGTTGCAGGCGCTGGCCCGTTTTTCGTCTGACACCTTCGCGTCGACCTCGGGCGTGCCACAAGGTAGTATTCTCGAGTCTTTTGTTTTGTTTATAAATGACATTAGATCATGCATCTCGTTTTCAAAATATCTGTTATAAGTTGACGATTTAAAAATATTCTCGAACATAACGAGCACTGCCGACATGCTCATGCTCCAAATGGAACTTGACAATATGCTAGCTTAATTTCATTTCATTTCATTTATTAAATGTATAACCATTAGTACAATAAGATATAATCTTTTATAGTACAACAAATTGCTGATTTAAATATAGACAAAGAGAAAAGCATACATACATACATATGCAACTTAAGAATAAAAACAAGGACAAATAAATAAACTAACATTATAATTATAATCCCTAAACAATAAAGATTAAGAGTACCAAGGAATACGGTAAGAAATAAAAACATACAAAGATAGAAAATAAATTAAGAATGTTGATAAAGATTGATAGGTAAATATAGATGGCCAGTCCATTCAAAACATTATTTCTTAAAATGTGCGTAAATAGATTGCTTCAAGTTGCTTCTGCTTAGACTACTTCTTACACCAGCAGGGGTAGAGTTCCACAAACGTATAGCGTTGACGAAGAACGGTCTCTCTGATGCTAACGTACTAAAGTTAATGACAATTAGATCTGTTACCCGTGCAGACCTAGTAAATACTAACTTATTAAAAAGGTAACCTGGAGATTCCATAGCAATCAGTCTATATAGAAAAACAAGTTTCTCGGTATTATTATTTGTAGGGCAAGCTGACGCCTTGTACTCAGTGGAGTATAAAATCCAGACACTTTTAAATTTCTTAAGGTAGCATAAACCCTCCCAACCATTGCATTAATATGGTCTGTACAAGTCAGGTTAGAGTTTAGTATAAACCCTAAATTTTTTACCTTGCTGACGATTTTCAGAGTTTGTTAGCGATGATCAGCGGCGATAAAAAGCTGAAATCTATGTTTTTTTTATTAAGTATTGGCAAAACAAGTGACTTATCACATTTTCGTTTTTGGTGATTTATCACAATTGAGATGCAAACCATTGGCATTCGCCCAATTGGAAGTAACGGATAGCTCAGCATTAATATCGCCGCACAATCGATCTGCTTGCACCAGAGGAGCCAATAAGTATAGTTGAATATCGTCAGCATAGGCATGGAGATTAGCTTTTAGGCAGACCTGAAAAATGTCATTTAGAAATATGCTAAAAAGAAGTGGGCCAAGTATAGATTCCTGAGGCACTCCAGCAGGCATCCCCTTTAGCTGAGAGAGCTCAGAACCAATTCGTACACGCTTGGTGCCTTTAATCCCGCTTTTTCCTTAATATCAATAAATGTTTTCATGTTACATTCTCTAAGTCCTAAAATGTCTTTGTTACCACGTACCATATCTCAGGCAGCACGCAGAGAAATTAAGGACCTTGGCGTTATATTTGATACCAAGCTCTCCTTTATTGGCCACATCGATTTCATAATTTCTAAGTCATATGCTATGCTTGGCTTAGTCAGGAGGAATAGTGCTGAGTTTTCTAATCCGCATACCTTAAAACTGTTATATACATACCTCGTTCGTTCGCTCCCATCTGGAGTTTGATGCCTTCATCTGCCACCCGTTCCATCAAACTAAGATTGACAGGATCGGGCGAGTTCAAAAGGTTTACACTCTTACCTCTTGGAACGTATTCACTTTAATGTTCCTCAAAGATCCCTTCGGCTCTACTATACATTTTATAGTAGTAATGACGCTTGCAATGCGCCCCTCTGTCGAGCTGCCAATGAATTCAATCCAATCTCTAATTTTATCGAAAACGATTTTTCGCAATTACCTAAATTAAGCATTTAAATTAATAACTTTTTATCCTTCTCATAGTCTGTAAGAATGTATTGTTCATAGACTATAATATGTAAATAAATAAATAAATAATAAATATATATATTTATATATTTTAAATATGTTATTTATTTATTAATTCATTCAATCTACAGAAGTAGGTTCCCTCAGACTATTTAGCAATTAGGTATATCTTAATTAAAGATTGTGAAGAGATACATTTTAACAGCAAATTTCACGAAATCAATTTAAAACTATGTTCACATCAAATTACTTCACATGAAGCAGGTACGTTCACATTTTCTTTCATAATTTCTATAGATATCGATGGTCCTGTGAAACAACGACACAATTCAAAATTCAAAAAATAAAAACTGTTACTACTGTTAAGTGGCTCATGTGTTTAATCCTTGTCGAATCCATGTCTCATCTTTTGTACTTACTTTAACAATCCTTACTGCTTACTTGAGTAAGGGATGGAAATGGATTAGACAAGGATTAGATACAAGAATCACTTAACAGTAGTAACAGTTTTTGTTTTACGAATTTTGAATTGTGTCGTTATTGCACAGGACCATCGATGTGTGATCACACGTACACATTGGGTAGGTTCAGAAGGCGCAGAAGTTGAGCGCAACCGTTGCTAAAAAAAATCAGTGATCATTATGCGCCTTCTGAACGGCTTGATACATTAGCTGTCAAATTCAAAACACAACATGTTGTCTTAAATGATCATAAAAATATTACGATTATCTAACACGCAACTGTTCAGTTGATAAGAAGTGCAAAACTAGATTTCAAATTTTTTTTTTGAATCTCCTAAACAGTGCGGGTTAAAATAAATGAAATATTTTTTTTCTTCATTTTGTTCTTGATTTATGATAAATTATCTCATTTCTAATTAATTTATTGACCGATTTTACAAAACGAAATTACATGATTTCAGCATGATTTGCTTATAAATTACAAATGAGCCGTAAATTACGTTGATGTGAACATGCTTTAAGTGAGAAATTTGTTTAATTTGAATTTTATATAGAAAATGACAGAAAATAAATTGCTGGTGAAATCGGCTGTAAATCTATCAATACTTAAATTAAAATTGATTACGCTGGAGTAAGTGTTTCAAAACCTTATACACATAGGAATCGGTTCATTAGTAGCGTAATTGGTGGTATGCATTGTACCTATCAATATACTATGCCTCAGATTACGTGGAGCATCAGATAAATTGATTAAATTGGCAAGTTCGGCCCAATTAATATTGCCATTCAAAACATTGTATACAAACATAATTGAGAAGTAGTCCGTTCTATCCTGCAGTGACTGCAACCCAAGCAGTTTACGTCTGCTTGAAAGATAACCATGCCAAGACATCTTTCGCATAGCCATTTTAGAAAAGACTGTACTCTTTCTACTTTGTTTGAGTGAACTTCATTATAAGGATTCCATTGCTTCAGCCCGACCACCTAATTTGTTTTTCATGTGAAATTTTTTTCATTGCAAAAATGCACACGATAATAAATAGGTTTCCATGAGGTTCTACATAAATACAATCGACCGCTGTAGTGGTTATTATCTAGTTGAAAAAGAAGAAAAGAAAACTATAGCTCGCATAATAACCTATAAACTGTACATCGCTTAGCACAAAATTATGAAAATGGCTATTTAGTTTACTTTAAGCAAGCCATGAGAACTAAAAAAAGTTACAAAACTAAAATTTTAGAACTAAATTTACATGCAATAATAGGTCTGTTCGATGAACGCACTAGAGTACTCTAGTGCAATTAAAAGCGTTCGATGAGAGTTTTTCTTGCACTAAACGAAGGTATTTTTTGCGCTAAATGTCAGATGTTGTCCTGCGTTGCACTGTTCTACACTTTTAGTGCACTCATCGAACAGACCTAATTAAGTACCTACTTTAAAAGCAGAGGCAAGTAAACTGCAACTCTTTCTTGTTTTTTGTTTGCGTTAAGCTTTATACGAATAAAAAAAACTTTCTAATTGGTTTAACTTTGCACTAGATTTCGTCGTTTTATAGCAATAATCGGATAGGACCTTAATCTGCCTTCATACGCTAAGAGTATGAGAACGACCTTATTGGGTACATCAATATTTTATCGCCCAACAACATCCCAACAAAGCAAAAACTCGCTGAAAATGGAAACCCACTCATCTTCTGTGCGACAGAAAATGATCGCCGATCCTATGGAAGAAAAAAACGAGCAAGTGAATCTCTTGAGCGAAGAGGAGGAGAAGGATCCATTAGCATTAGATACAGCGATCGAACAGCACAGCTCGCGAAGTAAGCTATCAAGCAACGCAAAGCACAGCCACAGTTTACGGTACGCGTTTTTACATAAATTCAATGCTTATTTGATCTAGTTTTGAGTGTCTAGTTACTAATGACAAATATATAAAAATATAAGTTTTCTGATTTATTATATTTTAAACTTCAATCGAACTTCTAGGCGTCATGTTCCTCGTATCATCGTTAAACCTATACCACCCGAGAAAAAGGTTGCAGTCACGTCGACAGCAACATTGAGTAGTAACGCTGCAATGTCCACTGCTACTGCCAATACTGTGATCAATACCGCTGGTGGAAAGAACACAACACCGAGCCCTTCGAGCCGTGCCAGTAGCAGTCGTCGTGCACAACAACAAGCCAAAGCTGCGGTAGCCGCCACGCCATTAACCGGAGCCGCATCTTTAACAACACCCTTAACAGCCATCACACAAGCGTCCACAATGCGTGAAGTTCTCGCATCCATACCCGGGTTTAGTTTTAAGCCACGTAGACGTTCTTCCAAGAAAATTTCCACTGCTGCTCAAATTGAGCAGACAAAGGATGGAAAAATAGACCTCGAAACACCAGACTCAATATTAGCATCTACGAATTTGAGAGCCTTACTCAACAAACAAACCTTTTCTATGCTGCCTCCATTATATCAGTATAACCTCATTCAATTGCTACCAAGCGTGGATCGCGAAGCCATCGAAGTTGAACGCAAGAACACTACTGACTCCACGGCTCCCATGGAAGCTATAAAATTGGGGCCATCCAGTCTAAATAATGAGTTCTTTGCACGTGCCTGCTTGGAATGGCGTGAACGATTGGCGGAAGGTGAATTCACACCTGAAAATCAAATGAAAATGAAAACAGAAGCCGAGAGGGAAAAGAACAAATTAGATCCATGGAAATTGAAACATTTTGAGCCCATATGGGGCGAAAAATCCTACAATCGCGCCAGTAGCACCAGTAGTAGTAGCAGCAATATAAGTTACAGTAGTGGCAAAAGCAGTGATAGTTATACTAATCTAATGGATGAGCGTCTTGAGTTTAAATTGGAAAGCAAAGGCGGTTTGGTTGCTACAATTGTGAAGACATCAACTAAAACGTCAGCGACATCCACGGCTACATCATTAGCTGCCTCTGCGGCAGCAACTTCAACGACGACGACAACTGTGGCATCGGCAGCGAGCACTGAAAGTGCCGAAAACACAACATCCTCATCATCTGTAGATGTGAAAGAGGAGGATGAAGAATTTATGGATGAACCGCTGGCAAATATAAGTGTAAATACTATTAAAACAGAGCTGAAAATACAACCCGAACAGCTGCACAAGCAGGAGTATACGGAAAGCTCTACTACCGATTACGAAAAACAGACTGACACATTTTGTGATCTGGTGAGTGTTAATTGTAATAACTTGAATACATTCATTTAATTAAATTTTCAACATTTGTTTTATTTTTAACTTAATGGTTATACAGATGTATTGTCTGGCTCAAACTATGATATTTTCTTAATACACTTTTTTTGCATTTATTTTCAACAGGAAAATATTGGTTATACAGATTTATTGTCTGGCTCAAACTATGATATTTTCTTAATAAACTTTTTTTCATTTATTTTCAACAGGAAAATATTGGCTGCACAGATTCATCCTCTACATTTGACCTATTACGCTCAGACTGTGGGGGTATTCAAAACAAACCAATAGCTGCAGAATCTAAAATTACCTTAACGCTAAGCGCGTTGGAACATGAAAGACAAAATGAATGTGGGAGTAGTGGTAATATACGCAAACGTTCGGAGTCAGAGTTTGCTTATGAAAATCGAACACAAAGCAAACAAATGAAAATAGAAACACAAAAGGGACAGGAACAACATCCAAATCCACATCCACATGATTATGATATTACTGACTCAGCAACCAGTATAGAACGTGAGATAAGCCATCTTGCTGGTGACGATCCCAAAAACACACTTTCTCCATCCGTATCATCGGCTACTTCAAGTTCCCAAGAGTTGAATGGCAGCATTAGCTTAACAACAAACTCATCCTCAACAAAAGCGCTTACCACCGAAAGTTTCATGTATAATAGCAATCTTTACACTGCTAAATTCGAACAGCAACCCGCTGATCTGCTACTAAAGGATACGATCTCTTCAATTAGTAGTGAAGAATGTGCCAGTGTGAATACCTTACCTGATGTGGTAATGAAAACGTCAAATTTCCTACAAAACCAAGATACTTCCTTTGCGGCAATTACGACAGCGGGAAATAGTACCTGTAACAGTATTGAAACACTTCTGCCAACAACGTCGTCGTTTGTGAACGTGAATGCAATATTGCCATCAACGGTGTCACCTAGACCAAGCGGAGGTATAACATTACAACAGTCCTTCCCATCACAAGGAAAGCAAATAAACGCGGCGTCTATAATTTCATTGGAAGACGGGGAGGATGACGACGAGGAGCTGATCGAACAAAAGTTTGCTGATGCACACAATTACGTGTTGGAATCTGGCGAAGTTAGTACGGATAGCAGTGCAGGTAAGATTTTGCTCTGTAGTATTAAATTCAATATATACATGTATTAAGGACGCTGGTTTATAAAATCATATTGATTTATTTTTAATTTTCTAATATAATTAATGTAATTAAAAAACACACCAGGTGCAAACAGCGCTTTACTTACACCAGCGGACAGTGGTAGCTTAAAGGAAAAGAAATTTATTTTCTGTGATTCAGTAGACCAAGGTAATTATACATACCATGAAACTACTTATGAATTAATTTTCATTTGATTTTTATTTAAACGGAAAAACTTGGTAGCACTGGATAGGTTTCGACGATTTTCGTCGGCTACTTATATCAGGACGACAGTAGTCAATGCTAATGTTGTCGAGTCGTACAATTTAGTCTATTTTACGACATACGCAATGAACTGTTAGCGATAATGGTGGACATACCAAAACTGCGACACTTAGAGATTACTACCAGAAACAAACTAGAAGGCTTTGAAATTAATTTGTTTACATTATATAAATTGGAAATTTAGATATTATTAAAATGTTAAAATATTAGTTATTATTTTCTCCATATGCAAGTGCACGACAGCATCATCGTTCATTGTCCCGGATGGAAAAAAGGGCTGCTTTTACGGCCACAGGAACAAATTTCTTGCAAAGCCATGTTGTTTTTTGGAAATTTTGACTTCAATTTCAGTTTACAGCATCTTGACGACTTGCAGCAGTATAAAAATCTTGACCTGCAATATATTTTAAATTTTTAAAGCAATCCGTTTCGTAGTCCATAACAATGCAGTTGTATTTTTTAATTTAGAATTCATAACACGTTTACGAAAAACTGCGATCTACGTAGGTATTTTGCAACATAACGCGACAAAACCTTCGGATCTCGCGAAAACGCACTGAGGACCTTCCGAGCACTGTTTTAATCACTTTGACCATGCTCACCCCACTCCCTGGTTTTCTCGTAACTCGTGCAAAATAATTTGTCTCTCTTCTAACTCGGTTGCCATTTTTAACTAGGAATCAAATTCAAAAGAAATGTTTTCTACGTCAAACTAAGATCATGGTCAACTCATGGTATTTGAATTTCAAAATATTTGAATCTTTTTGTGTAAGTTATAAGCTTCCCAATTTGTCGCAGTTTTGGTGTGTTCACCATTTATTATTACAGGCACTACTAACATGCAGATTGTCAATGTGTTAGTTTACAAAAATTGATGGAGTGCATATACGTTAGCGAAATTTGATATTTTTATGATGGATTCTAGTGCTTTGAACTATACTCTAATACAGAGTTGTGAAAAATGCATTAAATTTTTTAATGCAAAGCATTTTAATGTAAATAAAAAAGATTAATGCCTTAATTTTTGATATTTAATGTAAATGAGAATTTCAATGCATTACTTCCGAAGAAATAATGCTAACGATTTTTCCACGGAAGTTGGCAGAGCTCGCGATATTTTTTATAAATATGTCTGCGACAAAATTTTTAGCCCTACGTATAAACAAGGGATAATTTACGGCAAATTATCAAATAGTTAGTTTGGGTGTAGCTGGTTTCCATAATTGGTTTTTTGATGTTGTCCTGCTAACTTCCACGGAAGTTGGCAGAGCTCGCGATATTATTTTTAAATACGTTTGCTACAAAATTTTTAGTCCCACGGATAAACAACGGATAATTTACGGCAAATTATCAAATAATTAGTTTGAGTCTAACTGGTTTCTTTATTGGGTTTTTGAAGGTGTCCCACTATTCCTATCGGATAATTTGCCATTAATTATCTGTAAATTATCCGTAACAACAATAATTTAGCCGCGGACATATTTGAAAAGATATCGCGTGCTCTGCAGGACACGTTCAAAAAACCAATTAAGGAAACCGGCAACACCCAAAAGTTACTATTTGATAATTTGCCACAGAAGTTAGCAGAGCTCGCGATATTTTAAAATATGTCCGCAGCAGAATTATTGTCACGGATAATGAACGGCAAATTATCCGATAGGAATTTGTCTTTGGGAAAAAAACTGTCCCGCCAACTTCAGAGAGAGGTCCTGGGTGGGAAGAGGACACAAGAAACAGTTTTATAAGTGTCTCGGTCCATAGCTGTAGAGAAGCAGGAAGATGGTTCTAACTTTTTAAATTGTATTGTGATGATGTTTTTTGCTCTTAAAAGTTGAAGAAAACTTAAAAAACCAACAAGCGCGAAAATATGCATCGCAGTCGAATAAAATTTCCAGAGTTTCGGGTAATGCAATCTATAAAAGAAAAAAAAATCCCAGTATATAATTTCAGCTATAACTTCTATCATTTTCATAAATTATTGTTGCTTTTCCACAATAGTTTTTCATTAAAATCGGCCTCAAGCTCAATAAAAATTGTTGAATATAATTGTTATAAGGCCATAAAAAAACCATAAATACNAAAATATGTCCGCAGCAGAATTATTGTCACGGATAATGAACGGCAAATTATCCGATAGGAATTTGTCTTTGGGAAAAAAACTGTCCCGCCAGCTTCATAGAGGTCCTGGGTGGGAAGAGGACACAAGAAACAGTTTTATAAGTGTCTCNTAAGGAAACCGGCAACACCCAAAAGTTACTATTTGATAATTTGCCACAGAAGTTAGCAGAGCTCGCGATATTTTAAAATATGTCCGCAGCAGAATTATTGTCACGGATAATGAACGGCAAATTATCCGATAGGAATTTGTCTTTGGGAAAAAAACTGTCCCGCCAGCTTCATAGAGGTCCTGGGTGGGAAGAGGACACAAGAAACAGTTTTATAAGTGTCTCGGTCCATAGCTGTAGAGAAGCAGGAAGATGGTTCTAACTTTTTAAATTGTATTGTGATGATGTTTTTTGCTCTTAAAAGTTGAAGAAAACTTAAAAAACCAACAAGCGCGAAAATATGCATCGCAGTCGAATAAAATTTCCAGAGTTTCGGGTAATGCAATCTATAAAAGAAAAAAAAATCCCAGTATATAATTTCAGCTATAACTTCTATCATTTTCATAAATTATTGTTGCTTTTCCACAATAGTTTTTCATTAAAATCGGCCTCAAGCTCAATAAAAATTGTTGAATATAATTGTTATAAGGCCATAAAAAAACCATAAATACCCATGTGTTCAGAAATGCATCAAGAAATGTCTAATATGTGCAACCACGGTTAAATGGGGTATTGGTACTTAGTTAAGCAAGTAAGACATTTCCCATCCATTATAGATACGAACAGCAGGCCAATAAAAATAAATTAAAAATTTCTTAGAAAACCCCTGTATAACTGAAAAAGCGTGTACCTCGCTCTAAACTTTGTGAACAATTTTTTTTACTTTCGGTAAAGTCGACCGCGTTCGAGTATGACAAGGTTACGCTTTTACGCTCAAATCGCCACTTTTCAGCATGTAATCATACCTTTAGTCGACACGCTCGAGTAAATTTGGTTATCGATTTTTTTTATTGTTCCAATCGGTTGCAAGGTATCCCCCACTACGATTGCCACTTGGTAAAAAGATAGCCAACCAAACTCTGAAGAAAAAACAACTAAATTTTATAGCCACTTATCTATTACAAAAAGCAAAACATTACGAAAAATAAAAAGTCAACAATTTTNTAGATACGAACAGCAGGCCAATAAAAATAAATTAAAAATTTCTTAGAAAACCCCTGTATAACTGAAAAAGCGTGTACCTCGCTCTAAACTTTGTGAACAATTTTTTTTACTTTCGGTAAAGTCGACCGCGTTCGAGTATGACAAGGTTACGCTTTTACGCTCAAATCGTCACTTTTCAGCATGTAATCATACCTTTAGTCGACACGCTCGAGTAAATTTGGTTATCGATGTTTTTTATTGTTCCAATCGGTTGCAAGGTATCCCCCACTACGATTGCCACTTGGTAAAAAAATAGCCAACCAAACTCTGAAGAAAAAACAACTAAATTTTATAGCCACTTATCTATTACAAAAAGCAAAACATTACGAAAAATAAAAAGTCAACAATTTTATTGAGCTTAAAACCGTTTTTTTAATAAAAAATTTGTGGAAAAACAACATTAATTTACATTTTGGTTGAAGTTGTAGCTGCTATTTCGGAAAACAAANATCTATTACAAAAAGCAAAACATTACGAAAAATAAAAAGTCAACAATTTTATTGAGCTTAAAACCGTTTTTTTAATAAAAAATTTGTGGAAAAACAACATTAATTTACATTTTGGTTGAAGTTGTAGCTGCTATTTCGGAAAACAAAAATTATTTAAATGCTTGTGCGTTCAATGACATATTTTCGTCAATGTTATTGTGGCTTGTTAACATTTTTTATTTTTAATATTTTTATTGAGCTTTGTACCACGATTGTTTATTAGGAAAAATTGAAAAAGTAACAAAGTCTAAGCGGTAGAAGTTATAGCACTATTTCGGAGATCACCACACCATATTTTCTTTTTATATGTGCATGCAAAACATCCCTGCAAACCAAAGCTCCCGAAGTCTTAACGAAATCTTTAGGGTCTCTAATTTCTGTAAAATTGTATGGAGGGGTTGACACGAACTCGAAAAGAACTTTCTGCACGAAAAATTAAGAAAATTCTGCAAGAAATTCTTCATTATTATTTTCATTGCTTTACATATTTTCTTCCGAAATTTCGTAAAAGAATCGAAGTGTGCGTAGTTTATTTCATTTTAGAAAATTCGGCAAAAATCGGATGAGATCTTTATGAGTTCTTTAAAATTTCTCTACAGTACAGAATGCTTTGAAAAAATTGTTTATTGTAAAGAAACATTTTTTTTTTTTTGGGTTTTGGGTAGGTTGGTATAATCCTCTGCTTTCAAAATATATATCTTAGTATGTTATTTTTCAAATGCTGTGTCCAAACGTCGCTCAAGTGATACACGATGGTAATATCGCTGAGGGCCAGAACCACGTTCAAAAATTTATGCTTATATTTGTATCATACGTCTTATTCCTTTCAATTCTTTGTCAATTATATCAATTTAAAACGAGTATTGTGTTTTAATCGTCCACAAGTAACCAGGTTATTCCTCTAATTATTGGTTATATGTCAGAATGTATTATTCAGATTGGAAATTAAATGGCTGGGAACTAAGTCCTCATGTCGCCAGGTTATTCCTCCAATTTGACAATTTTATATATATTCGTCAAGTTATATTTTTAGGTTGTAATTCTGGTTTCGTTTCTTGGAACAGTTATGTATGTTACTTTTTTATTTCACAGTTAATTTGTTCATATGATACAACCGTATCAACGGTACGCTTTAACATTTTTATTTAATTTTAGTATACATTTTCTTTATGTCAACGTCTATTAAATTACTTATGTAATTATTATTTTGTAGTATTGTCTTCTCTTGTTTTAAAAGTTTAATATATTTAATGAACCGACTTCATTTTTTGTTTGTATATTAATCAGATATTTGCCATAACAAAACTCGACAGGTCAGCACGACTGTACTC